GTTTGTTTGTTTGTTTGTTTGTTTGTTTGTTTGTTTGTTTGTTTGTTTGTTTGTTTGTTTGTTTGTTTGTTTGTTTGTTTGTTTGTTTGTTTGTTCTGTATGATGTATTCTTGGTCTGCTGTGGTTTATTCTAAACTTTTATATTTGATTGCCTTTTTTCCCTCATAAGATATTTTTGTGATACATACAAGCAGTAATCAATAAACATCCCCCTGAAATTACAGAGGTTCTGTTAACATCACAACATATTCCAGTAAAACTCAAATCACTATTTCTTCCAAGCTTAAAGTTTCATTTTACTCCTAAATGAAATATTACAACATAAGGTTCATTTTATTTAAATATTATTTATATTCTGTCATTTATGTTCATTGTGACCAGTCAAAAGCTTCAAGTGTTACAGATGAACACAAACAAAACAGAAAACTAGATTCTGTGATCTGTTCCAACCAAATAAAATAAATATTTACAAACAGTGAAATCTCCAGAGAATATACTGAATCATTTCTTTTGTATGAAACAGAAACCTTCTGTATATATCCTCAGTACAAATTTCAAAGACCAAAACAAGACTGACGCTCCAAGGCAATCAATCATTATCTTTACAAAGTGCTCTCCTGTTTCAGGGAGAGATCGTAACACGAGTCTTTAATCAGACATTTCCGACTGTGCATACTTTGTCTTTACGACAAACTAGGCTGTCGCATTTGTGGCATCACTCTGTCTCAGAGACAGTGTCTGACATTTTGCAGCAAATCACAAGAACAGTCGCCTCAAGGTGCTTTAGAGAGAAAACCACCAAATTAAATGGCATAAAGAACACAAAAGTATGAATCCATCCTGCCTTTAGTCAGTGGTTCCAGCAGGTGGTAGCGTTTAATGATGTGGAGAATATTCTAAGCTAGCCAAGAACGCAGAGTGATGAGGAAGTGCTGACCCAGCACCGTGATAACCTGAGCTGCTGCTGAACCGCAGTCAGGCTGCAGCTTCCACTTCTACCTGTTCATGTTGCTACAGTAGAATCACCGTGACAACCGTTATGAAGTCTCTTTGTGCTGGTTTTCATCTTTGCTTTGTGCTCATACACGCTCAGAGAAAGATCACGTGTGAGGTCATCGGGATGGCTTGTGTTGGTGTGTGTGACTGTAGCCTTCAGGTTTATATTGTTCAGTGGTAACTATGTGACAGTGTTCAGATCATCTAACAGAGTAACTGGAATTATGGCACGACGGGACCACAGAGACATCTTTATTTTTACATTGGTCACACCACCACAGCAACCCTGTCAACCCTGCTTCCCCGTGATTTAACCCCGCGGGCGTGATCTGCAGATGCCGCGCAGGTGCAGCCACACGGCACCACAGACCACGCCCCACCACACATGCCCATCGCCCGACTGAGGTTGGGGAGCCATCCGGCCGAACCTACTCCCCCCCCCCCGGCCTCCAACCTGATGACAGGGCAGTGTCTCTTGCGTAGGCCGCCCAAGTCTCCAGCGGTGATGGCAACGCTGGTCCGGAGGCCGGGCACGCCCGGTACCTGGCAAACCGGCACGACCGTGTAGGCACAGCCGTGAGCACTCGTCTGCCGCCTCCGGCTGCTGAAGTGCCTCACTCGGCTCCTCCACCACCGTCGTGACACCCCTGTAGGGGTGGCGCCCAGGCCCAGAGCAGCGCCGCCAGATGCCCAATCCTTTTCAGGTGGCGCTCGGTCTGGTCCCGCAGCTCTTCCTGCTGGCGACGCACCTCCGCCACCTGCTCCCACTGGATAGCCGCCGTGTCAGCCATGATCTGGGACAGCTCCTCCCTTCTCTGGCTCTGTTGTGGGCCCGTCGTGCCGCATCCTAGGGTTCGGCGCCAGTGTGGTGGAATTATGGCACAACGGGACCACAGATCCGTGTTTTGAGCCATCTTTATTTTTACACTGGTCACACCACCACAACGACCCTGCTTCCCCGTGATTTAATACCGCGGGCGTGATCTGCAGACGCCGTGCAGGTGCGTCCGCACGGCACCGCCTACCACGCTCCACCACAGTAACATGAAAGTAACGAATGTCTTTATCCTGGGGAATTACTTTTAAGACAAGTGTTCTGTGTAATATGTGCATTCACTTTTTTAACGTCACCAATCACAACAAAGCGGGGAACACCTCCAACATGCACGAATGTTCAATCACACTGCATGTAGTTAATGTGCATGGATGTAATGTCTTTGATATGCTGCTGAGAGGTGATGGTGACCCTCAAACTGGAGCCAATGAGAATTGATAAGTGATATTGATAATGAATAATCACTAAACTCTTATCAGTTCCCATCCGTGTTCATTGTTGCTCTGCTTCTCTAAAAGGAGCTGCAGCCTGCAGAATTCCTTGGACCCTTCTTTCCAACACAACCTCGTGTCATGTTCAGCAACGCTGTCATTCAAGTTCTTCTTAACATTTTCTGTTTTCATTTATCTCACTAACACTGATAACTTTGTGAACCCTGGACAACCTCTGCAACTTTCTCCTGGAAAGCCAGGACACTGTGTAAAAACATGGTGAATATAAGAAATAACCACGTTCTTAGTAAGCTGTGGACTTACCAACTGTTCTAAGGAACAGCCAGTAACATTACTCTACACTTCATTACAGTAAAGCAGCTTCAGGTGACAGTTATAAATCACAGAGAATAATTTAATTCTCAACAAAAAGCACAAAATAAAAAATATGAGCCGTACAAAAGCTGTTAGTGACTGTTGAAAGTTCAAATATTAGGTTGAACTGCTGCTGCTGTTGTAACTGTGCTTTTATAAGCTTGCAGGAAAGAAATCCTCCAGCATATTTTCTTCTCAGTGGCTGGATACTACAGTAGATCATGCTCATGATGCGTACAGTAGAGTGTAAAAGCCAGTGAAGATGTGCAGCTTATTTACACTGACTTGCTTATTTTCTGTGCTCTTGCCCTCTTCTTTTAGTAAATAAACGAAACAGTGAGTACAGATGGACACCTGCTAAAAAAAAAGAGAGAAGATCACCGTGGACACAGAAGGACACTAACAGAGATCAACTAAAAGAAAAAAATGGCCTTCTGTCAAGAATTAAGGGGATGGACAAAGGGCCTGCTTTGTAAGGCCGGACCTGGACCGCTGAGTCTGTAGCCTGGGAGCAGAGAGGAGCCGACCAGCTCCAACTCCTGAAAAACAAGCCTTGCTGAGTGTTAGAGACCAAATAGGAAGGTCACGATAAAACATTTTTATTTTTGTAAACTTTTTTAAGTTTATGGTTTCTGAAAAGATCAAACATCACTCTGTGTATATACATATTATATACCATATGTGTGTATTATGTAAGTATGTTTAAAAAAAGAAACTGTGTGCAGTTCAAAGAGGAGATGAGGAGACGCCAGTTCCCCGTGACTTTTGAAGGTCAGCCACCATGCCCCACATGCCTTCTGCTGGGTGTGTGTTAAGGTGTGTGGGGCAACTGGTCCAGCAGGCCTGTCACTACATAATGAGATTACAGCTTTTTGAACCTGTCTTCCACTAATAACGTCTGTATCGGTCAGAAAATCTGCCTTTTAAATCCAAAAATACACACAGATAAGAAAAAGGGTTAGGGTTTCCTCTACAAGCTCGACTCAAGTTCCAGCGAGGTGGGACATTAATGACAGGCTGCCTGATGTCACCACAGTCTGGTGGTTTTACTGTGCCGTGGAGTAAAAACTGCTCTTGTGCATTGTGTTGGCACAGGCAGGGTAGGGCTGGGAACAGAGAGTGGGTAAAAAATGAAAAGTGGAAATGATGATGTGCTTCAACACAGCCTTCAGCTTCCACCACTCAAAAGGACTAAGAGAGGGGTTAAAGTGAAAAGTCACACAGTGACAGCAAGTCTGTGTAAACTCTTCTGTTTCTATGGATTCCTGCTGACATCCTTCTGTATTTACGCATTGTACTAAAAACACAGCCATGGTGCAGAGTCAGCTGTTGTCATCTACTATTGTTGTAGTCATTGTACTGGCAGTAAGAAGAAAGTATTTATATATAAATATAGTCATTTGTGATCTCCACCTCCTGGACATACGTTTGATTTTTCAGCTTTGACGCAGGACGTGGTGTAAGTGTGATGATGTGTCGTTCTTTCATGTTTCTCTTTTGTTCAGCTACTGAATGTAACTTAAACTTTTTAGGCAGATGGTGTTTTTTATGTGCTTCAAAAGAACAAACAGTATTCTGTATATTTATTACACGTGTAAATGATATAGTAACATGTTTCTGATAATATGCTGGACCTCCTCCTCACGATCACGTCATGTCCCAAAGGTGAACAGACATGTCCTGCTGAAACGTGAAGTACTACAGAGAGTTTTAGTTGTTTGGTTTGTCTTTGTGTAGCTGAGTCGTAGTGTCATCGTGGTGCTGAGGGTAATGCTGTGGTGAGGAACAGGACAACAAAGAAACACGAGACCAGTCTGAGGTGGGGAAACTTTTAGCAGTGCGTCCTGTTGGAAATGGAGACGCTCTGCTGCAGGACGCTCACATGCACTTGTTTGATTTGTGGGTCGTAGCATGTTTTACCACATTTATGGATATGACGACACTGAAACCTTTACATCTTTATTTTAATTCAGAGGAGGATTTGAGTCTCACTGCACTCTTACTTTAATGCATAGCACTTGGTAATGTAGGTAACATGGTCTATAAGACTAAGTGATCCCATGGACAGTACTCATTTACATCAGTTAATAAAGTGATGGAGGTGGAAACAACTGAAAGGCCACAGTAATCGAACTCGGTGTGACAGAACGAAGGCAACCCAAGCTCATGCTGAGTGTGAACGAATGGCTCTTTGTCTTTTGTCCTTTTTGGACCAATTCTGTCTTTTTAAGCTGATCACTCGCTGGCCTTGGAGTGCCTTTAGTGCTGTGACTCCGTTCTTATGACCGTGGTGATATCATGTCTCCATCATGTTGATGACTGTCCCGGAGACCCAGATTTTACTTCCTCTCCTGTTTTTCTGGTGTTTCAGTGAGGCAGATGTTTGTGTGACAGGATGCACTGTTACACTGTTAGTGCTGCATTTCTTTCTCCTTCACGCAGTGAAAGACTGGTTGTCCGTACTGTTCTCTACATGAATGTCTAAAAACTCTTTCAAAGACTAAATGAGCATCTGTGAATGTGTCTACAGACAGATTTTTTAACGATGCCTCTACCACACCCTCAGCGTGCCACTGCTGAGTTGTTCATCTGGGAAAAAGCTTCTGCAGTGGGATCAGGCAGCTGGACATGAACTGGGACTTAACAAAAAATATTCTAACGATGTCAATCTTAGCAGAGATCAGGTTTCCTCCGATCGCTGCTGTGTTATTCTAATTGTAATTTATTTTTGTTCTTTTTTTCCTTGTTGTTCTTTCTCTTGGCTTGTTTACATGTACTGTATATGATGTTCATCTGTTGCTGGTTGGAGAGATTATCTAAAGGTCTGAAGTAGCTTTTAACTCTAGCTGTGGTATTCCCCTGTGGCATGGCCTTTTACCCTGGTCCTTCCCTTCCCCAATCAGAAAATGTGATGTTTGCATTAAGTACACGTACTCAGCAACGAGATATAAAAATCCTCGGGCTTCCTACCAAAACTACTCCCATTTGTTTCTATTGTGTATACCTCAGATACGAGCCCTAAAGCAGCTATTACTCTTAAAGCTCCTGGCAACCAGACCTCATTTACCTCCTCTCCCCCTCTTCCACACTTGAGCCCAACATCCACCCATAAGCCAAAACCACACCTACCTCCCCCGTTAACCCACTGACCTCCACCCTAAAGTCACAGAATACTTGCTGCAAAGACACGTTCTGACAGGTTTAAACTGAAGGACACTACATAAGCCCCGATCCTGCATACAGTTGGTCTGTGGGTGTTTCACCAGTACTGGGATTTGACAACATTTTATTTAGATATCTCATTTTTATCTCCCTACAAGGAGTTATCAAATCTTATAGACAGATAGAACTTTATCAATCCCCCGGGTAGGTTCCTCCAGGAAATTCAGTCATCATCATTATTATTATTATGAATATTATTATTGAGAGTTGTCTTTTAAATACCTCAGTGAGGTTAAGTTATATTGTGATTCATCTCTGTCCTTAATTACTTTAACGCCCACATTATCCAAATAATAATAAAAGATGTCTCTTATTTGTTTCACACAACATCAGGCTCAGTGAGCACAAATCCAAGAACTATGCACAAAACAAAAGCTGGAAGATATTTTAGAGTACGTACATGTATATAACTTAACCCATGCAAGTGAAAACGTGAAGTCCTTACTGGAGTCCTTTGAGCAGCCCACTAACTTAGCCTGGAGTGTTGTTGTAAATGTATAGAAATTATACTGTGATCTGCAATATTTACTCTTTACATAACCTTTACAGTATTTCCAACAAGTGTTCTTTCTTGAGTAGGCTACCAAACTGTTTCCAATTCAGAAAACACATGAACAACAATTTAAAGTTGTCATTAGCAGCAGAACCAACTGTTAATTGGAATAACAATGTTATTGCTATAGAAGATCGATATTATTGGCATTTAGATTTGTTACCCATATGCCTCACTTTAACTATGCACTTCTTTCTAAATCTGTTTATGAAATAATTTGGGACAATGGAAGCCAGATCTAGGGCACCTGCTAAAATGGCACAGGAGATAACGGTAGATTCTCAGCCTCGAGTCTCTGCTGTCACTGTCTTCTCTACACCATTTCTTCCATTTTATTAAAAAACAACATCAAATAAAACATAATAAAGAATTTCTAACTGCTCTCGAGTGGATAAGCTCGTGATTTTTCCCCAGTGTTCTCCTCTGCTCGCCAAACACACAAACCCCTCATAATTGTTACATGTGTGCATGAAACAATACTCAAACTAATCATTTCAAAAATGTTGCTGATTTCACCTGTCAGTAAAAAAAGGGGTGTTTTACAGTACGGCAGAAAACTGAAAACGATTTGGCCTTGACGGTTGGTTTTCAGTCAGGATAAATGCAGACGCTAGTTCATTTCTAGTATGTCTGAAGTTTTATTCAAAATAATATAAATTTCAAACGTATGCACACACGTCAGAAATGCAAACAAAAGACTGTCCTGAATGAATTTGTATCCGGTGATATGATCTGTTTCTCTTCAGCAGTTTTGACTTAAATGATCTGGTTGCCTTTGAACGTTTTTCACTCCTGAATGCCAACAGCCTCCCGGTCCTATGCAGATCCCAAAGCACAAAGGTTTGACTGGTGACTATGGAGTAAAATTTGAAGAAAAAAAGACCTAACTTACATGTTTGCATTTTTTTAGTCTGCTTTTATTTATGTGTTTGAGGCTCCAGTGTTTTCTTCTACTCTTTATGTATCAGTTATTCTTTATGTCAAGAGCAAAAACCTGTATTAATGTGTACAAAGAGACTTTTAATGTGAGACTGAACCTGTGCAAGTGACACTGTAGAAGTACACGTCTGTCTGTGTACTTCTACAGTGTGTGTGTGTGTGTGTGTGTGTGTGTGTGTGTGTGTGTGTGTGTGTGTGTGTGTGTGTGTGTGTGTGTTGGATGGTATTTCTTTAACTGGTTGATTTATGTGTGCTTTTAATGTGCTTCAAAGAAACAATACTATTTATTATAATATTCGTACATTATTATCACAGTTATTATTACAGTTATTACTAACATGATTATTAATAAACATTTCTTTCCCCTGAAACTCTTCCATTGATTGACTTGGTTTGGGTCAGCAGCATTAGTTGTGTTACAGCAAGCCTGCAGTTGGTGACTGAATATTATGAGTTCAGTTCAGTTCAGCTACCTAACATACATAGGTCAAATTAAATGGTAAAATAAATATGAATATGTACTCACAAGCCACTTAGACATACCTGTTCAACTGATCATTAACAAAATATCTAATCAGCCGATCACATGGAAGCAACTCAGTGCATTTAGGCATGCTGACACGGTTGTAAGAACCTGCCTACCTCGTAATTAAACTTAAGAATATGGAGGAAATGGGATTTAAGTGGTGCAACAGTTTCTAGAGGTCAGAGGAGAATGGTGAGATGGCTTCGAGCTGCTAGGAAAGCAACAGTAACTCAAATAACACTCATTACAACCAAAGTATGCAGAAGAGCATCTCCACAGGCACAACATGTCACACCATGAAGCAGATGGGATACAGCAGCAGAAGAGCACGTCAGGTGCCAATCAGAAGAATGGGAAACTGAAGCAACAGTTTCTCTTTGGGTGCCCAAAACTGTACAATAGAAGAAACAGGTTACAAATTTGGCACAAAGAACACAAAAGCACAAAGTGAGCATTGTTTGACCGCCACAGTCTGCTTGACCCTGTCCATCCTTTTCACTTCACTTTGATTTCCCTGTCAGGACTCTTGCTGCAGCATTTTGGATCAGCTGAAGGCTTTTCAGTGAGTTTTTTGGACATCCTGATAATAATGAATTACAGTCGTCCAGCCTGGAAGTAATAAATGCATGAACTAGTTTTTCAGCGTCACTCTGAGACAGGATATTTCTAACTTTAGAGATGTTGCACAAATGGAAGAAAGCAGTCTTACATATTTGTTTAATATGTGCATTGAAGGACATGTCCTGGTCAAAAATGACTCCAAGGTTCCTCACAGCGTTACTGGAGGCCAAGGTAATGCCATCCAGAGTAAGAATCTGCTTAGATACCATATTTCTAAGATTTTCAGGGCCGAGTACAATAACCTCAGTTTGATCTGAATTAAGAAGCAGAAAGTTAGCGGCCATCCAGGTCTTTATGTCTTTAAGACATTCCTGCCGTTTTCTATACCACTGCAGTGCAGTAGTATAGGAAAGACCAAGAAGCTGAGAATACCAGTGTGCTGTGTGAGAAACATGCAACCTGAGACAATAAGGAGACAGTAATTTAAATTTATATAGTTATACTCGTACTATGTTAGTGTATTATGATTGAGAAACATGGAGTTATGAAAGGAAAAGTATTCCTTTGTAACTGAGTTTAAAAGAGATGCTGTTGAAAGCGTCATGATGTCCATGTGAGGTTGAGCTGATGAAACATTCTGTTAATGTACAATAGCAAACAAACTGAATAAGAGATGAGGGAAAGTATATATTTATATAAGACTGAATACTCATATGTGATTAATGTAAGAAATCATATTAACATACAACACAGGAAAGAAGAAAATGTAATGATATTATTCTTTTTATTAATATTATCATATGTTTTAAATTTGTTTTAAATCATGTTGACGTCACAGAGAGAGCAAGGATGTGAACATTGGCTGATTGGATGTCAGCAATGATGATGATTGTATATCCCAATGAATGACCGCAGTCCAGAAAGAGACGGGAGTGAAAGAACGACAAGGTAAAAAGTTTTGTGCAAAAGAGATAAGTTGATCTTCAGAAGATTGGATCTAAGAAGTTAACGTTCAAAATATTTCAGCAGACGCCAGAGGCAGGGCTCTAGACTCACCTTTTGCCACAGTTGCACTGGTGCACCAGCACCAGTTAGGCACACACAATTTTTTCAACCTCAGTGAGTTTTGGTTGGAGAGAGATAAAACCTGCAGCATCAGAATCGAGCGCAAAAAAGACATAAACACAAAGCGCGGACCCGACGCATCAGAGTCAGCGAGCTGTCAGTGAGCTGTAAGCTTTCAGCCCCGACGGCGTGTCCGTGTACACTGTAAAATCTAATTAGTTAGTTCAAAGAACTCAAAAAAATTAAGTAAAGCTTACTTAAGATGACTGTTAGGACAACTTATTCATTGCAAGTCTGCAGTATTAAGAATAACTGGATATTTCTGACTGTACAATACTAATTGTTTACCTACTGACAAACATTTCAAGTTCAACTAAATGAAAAAACAATATGTGGTAACCTGAATATGATTAAAAATAATTAACAACACTTTTTGTAATGATGTTAAAATGAGCCCAACTTTTATTTTCAAACACAACAAAGTATAACAGCCAACATACTGGACACTGTTCTGCTGAACAACAAACAATTATATTTCCATCACTGTTATAATCTCACAATGAAACAAAGTCTCAGATGTAATTATTTGTTTAATTATTATTATTTAATTATTAATTTTTAGCTGTTTTTTACACTACATCAATTCGGTTTCAGTGGAAACTTTATAAACTGGATTAAGTTACCTTATAACAATCCCTGCCCTGCAGTTCTCACAAACGGGGTGCGGTCCTCCAACGTCCGGATACTGAAGGGAACCAGACAAGGCTGCCTCCTCTCCCCTTTGCTCTTTGCCCTAGCCATAGAACCATTGGCAGAGGCAGTACGAGTTCAGGCGGACATACATGGTCTATCTGTAGGACAAAGACAGCATAAGATTATTCTGTATGCTGATGATGTACTTGTTGTGTTGACTCAGCCGGAGACATCAATCCCCTCTCTGGTTGAAACTATTAATAAGTTTAGTGAAATCTCAGGCTATAAAATTAATTTCAATAACTCAGAAGCAATGCTATTGAGCAGTCTGAAACAAAAACCACGGGCCCCTTCTCCATTTCCCTTCACTTGGTCCCCACAGGGCTTTACGTATCTGGGGATTAGGGTCACTCCAGCCTTTGAACAGATGTATAAAAGTAACTTTACCCCCCTATTTGAGCAGGTCAAATTAGATCTAGAGAGATGGAAGTCCTTACCGTTATCCTGGCTCGGTCGTATCGCTCTTCTGAAAATGAACATTCTACCCAGGCTACTTTACCCAATACAGATGGTTCCGACCCTTTTTCCACATAAAGCTATCCAAACTCTAATTGGCTGGTTCAGCTCCTTTGTTTGGGCAGGGAGGAAACCTCGTCTTAAAATATCCACGTTATGTCTTCCATCCTCAAAAGGGGGCCTTGATTTCCCAGATATAAGGAGCCCCCATATGCGTATAGCTGCCGATTGGGTACAACAGCCTTCTCCTGTCTGGTTG